AAAAAAAAAAAGGAAAAGGAAGAAAATAAGCCAACCAATCTTCCTCTAGGTTATTGACAACTGCTTTTTTTTATTTTCCCCCTCGAATAAGTTGCAGCTTATATTATAAAATATCCAATCTCGGGTCTGGAATTCCTGAACATCTCAACCCTGGAGTATCTGCGCCCAATACCCACCTTAGGCTACCGTCTTCAACCGAATAGAATGCCCCGTCATTATAGCTGTATTTGGGCCGACTTTCAGTCTAAATGCAGCTATAATTATGGGGCGTTCTATACGGGCGAAGACGGTAGTGCTGGAAACCCGGTCCAGCGTCCCAACATCTGCACACAAAACACACAACTGGACTAAAAACTAGTAAAAGTAAAAACTGTAAAACAGAATACCCCCTCCCTTGTTTCTTCTGACCGCCTTCCATTCCAACCATAAGCCCTAAACCCTAGCTTTCATTTGAGCCCTATAGATTTCTCCGGTCTTTCGTCCTTTTCCCTTCTGCTACCTCTAGTTTTGCTGTCAGCCCAGCCTTGAAACTCCCTGTCCTTCCCAGCGTCGGTTGGCAGGCTTCTCATCCTTGTTCAGACGTCACTTTTTATTATATATTTATAAAGCAGGAAACTAACTCCAGCGTCGCTTACATCAGAGGCACTTTTTTTTTTTTTTTTTTTTTTATGAATAAAAACAGGACACTAAGTCCAGCGTCCCTTAAACCAGCAGTACATGGCCCCAGGCAGCTGGAGAACCAGTTTTGAGCCTCGCCGGAAATTTAGGAGAGGCGAAGAGCCGTATAGATAAAACGAATTATGCGGGGGGCAGCCTCCAAAAGGGGCCTGTGGCCGATAGCTGGCATGTACTGGTGCTTTAACAGCAGAGACCCAGTCGATGCCAGAAATATGGTTGAGCAATCCATCCGGAAAACAGTTAGAATAGTTCTTCTCAGTCCAGTTCTTTGAACTGCCAGAAATATAATGCATTGAGCCTCACTGCTCGACACCTTGAGCACACACACATTCAGAGATCACACGAAATCCACACTGGAGTCCAGAGATGCAAAGTCCAGATATGCACAGCTTAGAAATTCCAACAAATAATCACATTAAACAGTTCCGGAGATCCAGTCATCAAGCGCTCAACAGCGCAGAATTCAGCAACCCAATACCAGCATCCTCATCTAAGGTAGGTGATTCTCTTCTCTCCCTGGCTCACTCTCTCTTTCTCTCTCTCTGTCTTCTTTCTCAGTCTGTCCCTCCTGGTCTTCTTCATGCATGCGCTCTCTCCTTCTCTCCCTCCCCC